TTAATGCAGATTATTCACAGCATAAAAATCTTACTGTTATGAATGGATGTAAATGGAAATTCCTTCATATTTGGCTGTTTGCAGTTAACTAGTTTACAGATGTTTGGCCAATTTTCAGGTGTTTTGTGATATTAGAAGTAGAAAATTTTGTCAGGGATTTTAAAAATAAAATTATTGATCATCTTTTAAACTTATGTTAAATAAAATGTGTAGGAGATACAAAACTGAAATACATAAGTATTTGCATGATCTCTCTAAGCTTACAAAAATACAAAATATTGATATTGTTGGTGAAGTTTGAAATGGAATTTTTAAGCGGTTAAACAGTGAAATTGTAACATTTTAAAAGAGCTTTTTCTAGGCAGTGAAGATTTTTAATAGTAATGAAAAGAGAACAAATTTGAGAGACGCAGATTGACATGAAGTACGTTCTAAAGTTCTGTGATCTAAAGAAGAAATATTCATGACCAAATATCATTTTGAATATAGTCGTGTTGATGTACTGTGCAGATACTCTAGGTAGGACTTGTGGTGTTACTTTAGTTTTTTCATTTTTCTTTTCAGCAGAGTTCATAGAATCATAGAACATCAGGGTTGGAAGGGACCTCAGGAGGTCCAGCCCTCTGCTCAAAGCAGGACCAATCCCCAACTAAATCATCCCAGCCAGGGCTTTGTCAAGTCTGACCTTAAAAACCTCTAAGGAAGGCGATTCCACCATCTCTACCAATGTCGAATAGAGGGGAATGATCACGTCCCTCGATTTGCTGGCAGTGCCCCTACTTATACAGCCCAAAATGCCATGAGCCTTCTTGGCAACAAGGGCACACTGTTGACTCATATCCAGCTTCTCGTCCACTGTAACCCCTAGGTCCTTTTCTGCAGAACTGCTGCCTAGCCATTCGGTCCCTAGTCTGTATCAGTGCATAGGATTCTTCCGTCCTAAGTGCAGGACTCTGCAGTTGTCCTTGTTGAACCTCATCAGATTTCTTTTGGCCCAATCCTCTAATTTGTCTAGGTCCCTTTGTATCCTATGCCTACCCTCCAGCGTATCTACCACTCCTCCCAGTTTAGTGTCATCTGCAAACTTGCTGAGGGTGCAGTTCATGCCATCCTCCAGATCATTAATGAAGATATTGAACAAAACCGGCTCCAGGACTGACCCTTGGGGCACTCCGCTTGATACCGGCTGCCAAGTAGACATGGAGCCATTGATCACTACCCGACGATCTAGCCAGCTTTCTGTCTACCTTATAGTCCATTCATCCAGCCCATGCTTCTTTAACTTGCTGGCAAGAATACTGTGGGAGACCGTATCGAAAGCTTTGCTAAAGTCATGGAATAACACATCCGCTGCTTTCCCCTCATACACAGAGCCAGTTATCTCATCATAGAAGGCAATTAGGTTACTCAGGCATGACTTGCCCTTGGTGAATCCATGCTGACTTATTCCTGATCACTTTCCTCTCCTTTAAGTGCATCAGAATTGATTCCTTGAGGACCTGTTCCATGATTTTTCCAGGGACTGAGGTGAGGCTGACTGGCCTGTAGTTCCCAGGATCCTCCTTCTTCCCTTTTTTAAAGATGTGCATTACATTAGCCTTTTTCCAGTCATCCGGGACCTCCCCCGATGGCCATGAGTTTTCAAAGATAATGGCCAATGGCTCTGCACTCACATCCACCAACTCCTTTAGCACCCTCGGATTCAGCGCATCCGGCTCCATGGACTTGTGCTCGTCCAGCTTTTCTAAATAGTCCTGAACCACTTCTTTCTCCACAGAGGGCTGGCCACCTCCTCTCCATGCTGTGCTGCCCAGTGCAGTAGTCTGGGAGCTGACCTTGTTCGTGAAGACAGGGGCAAAAAAAAGCATTGAGTACATTAGCCTTTCCCACATCCTCTGTCACTAGATTGCCTCCCTTATTCAGTAAGGGGCCCACACTTTCCTTGACTTTCTTCTTGTTGCTAACATACCTGAAGAAACCCAAGTGTGATTTGGCCTTCCTGATTTCACTCCTGCATGCCTGAGCAATATTTTTATACTCCTCCCTGGTCATTTGTCCAATCTTCCACTTCTCGTAAGCTTCTTTTTTGTGTTTAAGATCAGCAAGGATTTCACTGTTAAGCCAAGCTGGTCGCCTGCCATATTTACTATTCTTTCTACACATCGGGATGGTTTATTCCTGCAACCTCAATAAGGATTCTTTAAATTACAGCCAGCTCTCCTGGAGCTGTCAGAGTTGTCAGGTTCATTGTTACCACATTATCAGAATTAATTTACAGATAGTTTTCTAAAGACCTGTCTGTCCATGTATTCATGTTGATGGAGTGGGTTTATAGGACAGCTCTTCTGAGCAAAACTTTTAGTATGAAATCACTATCAAGAAAATGTTTTGGTCCAATCCAAAAGAAGATACTGAAGCAAACTCCTCATGGTTTGGCACAAGTTAAGATTAAACATTATGGAGTTGGGCTGGGAAAAGGAATAAAATTCAGGGGTTTAAAATTCTTTCTGGCAAAGATTAATTCAGTTAAAACTAATTTAAAACTGTTTTCTTCTACTGAATTTCTGGTAATATTAAAATGCTTGTAACATCCAAGTGATTAGTATTCCTATTTCCTTTTAAAGCTGCACACACAAAAGAGTGTAAACTTAAAGCATATATTGTAAAAATATTCACAGTACCAGCCATCTGACTTTTGTACTTTGTTAATGTTTAAGCCACAACTTCCTCTTTTTTCTGTGTAGTTTGTTAGTTGGTGTATTTATAAGATAAAGCTGACTGTGCAGCTTGTCCTAAAGTTGCTGTTTAGCTGGTTGGAACTGCAGTCTTTGCACAGTAAAGGCTGCCATACCTCTTAAATAGGCATTAATAATAATGAATTATTGTAACTCAGAGGGATGAGTTGATGTTGGATTGAGACTCTTTCCAGGAAGTTGCTTAATCTGAAGCCTGTGAATATCCTATAGTTTACTGTGTAGATAAACTAGGGCTGGCAAGCGATTGAAAATATAAATCGTGATTAATCGCACTGTTAATAATCGAATACCATTTATTTAAATATTTTGGGATGTTTTCTATATTTTCAAATATATTGATTTCAATTACAACACAGAATACAATGTTTACAGTGTTCACTTTATATTTATTTTTGATTAAAAGTATTTGAACTGTAAAAAAACAAAAGAAATAGTATTTTTCCACTTACCTGATACAAGTACTGTAGTGCAGTCTCTTTATTGTGGAAGTTGAACTTACTAATGTAGAATTATGCACAAAAAAACTGCATTAAAAATAAAACAATATAAAATTTTAGAGCCTGCAAGTCCACTCAGTCCTACTTCTTTTTCAGACAATCACTCAGACAAACAAGTTTGTTTACATTTGCAGGAGATAATGCTGCCTGCTTCTTGTTTACAATGTCACCTGAAAGTGAGAACAGGCATTCTCATGGCACTGTTGTAGTTGGCGTTGCAAGATATTTACGTGCCAGATGCGATATAGATTAACCCAGATAATTAGAGCAATCATGGGAGAAAATGCACCCCTCTTTATAAGCCAATTATTTAAAAAATAATTCACTCCCTGCCAACCAATCATGGATTCCTTCCAGTGATCCTCAAGGAATGATATAATAAAAATACTAACCAACTCTTAAAACCCTTAAAAAATACAAATATATATGCAAAAAAAAAAAAAAAAAAAAGTGGGACTTAAGGTTCACCTTATAAACACCACAAAAATACCAAACCACTGGGGAATAGGGGTTACAATAGAGGGGCAGTCATCATGAGGAATCCCCTAGCTACCACCTGAGCTGGAACAAGGGCTGTACCGGGGACAGGATTGTGCCCAGACTAGGAAGGTGTCCAGTCTGTGAAAAAAGCTTATTGAAACATCTCTGAGGGTGAGATTTTATCTGTATTCAGTCTTATTACTGTATTAGACCTTAGATTTGATGGGATTCGTGCTCTTTCTGAATAGGGCTTATACTGTCCCTATGAAGGTTGTGTGCAGTGTTGTAGCTGTGTCGGTCCCAGGATATTAGACACACAAAGCAGGTGAGGTAATATCTTTTACTGGACCAACTTCTTTGGTGAGAGACAAGCTTTTGAGCCTACCTAGAGCTCTTCTTCAGGCCTCACCCACCTTATCTTCCTAGGAAGGTTAACTTTTTCATCCCTAGATATTAAAAACTTAATCTCAAGTGCCACCTTAGTTATTTTGCCTTTTGAAATGCATCAGTTTACATTAAATTGCAAGTGTTTAAAAAAAACAGTAGCCGGCTGGGGGGACTGGTCTCCTTTAACTCCCATACATTGGCTTTAGTCTTCCCCCTAATTAATTACTCCATTGTGTCAGATCTTCAAAGGAGACTATGCAGGCCACTTTTACATCTGCTATTGTCCTGAAAATAGTTCAGACAGCACCTAAACCTCCATAGCAGAGTCTGCAATGTTGAAGGCTTGGGGAGGCAGGCGGAGAGCAGAATTACTGTCCGTTAGACGGGAACGTTGGGTTTAAAGCTGCCCTCCCTCCTCAGATATTCAGTGGCTGAGGAGGAGTATATGTTTTGGGAAGAGAGGTGAAGCTGTAGCCCTGGTTCTTTCAGTATCTTTTTAGCTGCTCCCTCCATGTAGAGCCATTGCTCACAGCTGCATGAGATCCTTTCCATAACTCCATCTGACCAGCTGATTGGCTGAAAAGCTAAGTGGAACTGAGCCCTCCCCCCAGCCCTCCCAACATGCACATTTAGCACTGATTCTGGCAGAGCAGAATTGCAGGGTCAGCTGTAAACCAGTACATTATTCACAGATGGTCTGCTAATTTAAAGCTCTGCTATTTCATGAGTTTTCATGAGGGGTTTTCATTTCCAAAACTGCTTTTAAAAAATTAGAGGTTCTGATTGTGTTTAAAAAAAAAGTAAGTTTCCAAAAAATACTTTAATTAGATTTTTTAAATGTTGAAAGTTGATTTTAATATTTTTCTGACTTTTCAGTGTTATCCGTGGTAATCTCCAGGATCTGCAGGAACGTAAGCTAAGATTTTGATGACCCTAGCTGGAGAAAGTTGCTGAAGCCTCACTTTAGTAAGTGATTATTTGGAAACACAGTTTGCCTTTGTTTCTAAGTTTAATTTCAGGAACATTTCTATCCTGCCAGCTCAGTGGAGATCCATTGACACAACATCTGATTTCATGGAGCACAGCTTTTCAGCCTTGAAGTCTTGAAAAAGTCTTTTCTCCTAAAAATCCCAACTGAATTATTCAGTCTGAGGTTTCTGTTGGGTTTATAATGGCTTATTTATCTCATAATGGGAGTTAGTGTATATGTAGCTACAAAAGCATTTGAAAATGCAGCATATGTGTCTTTATTTTACTATACTGCAAGGCCAGGCTCACTTGTTACTTTCAATGGTGCTTCACCTGTGCCTGGCCTTGCCTTACATTTTCATTTTCTTTGAATTTTGAGACAGGAATCATTAAAATAAATGATTAGTGAGCTGCTTGTGTGCAGAACCTGTTGAAATCAGAACTTGAGATATTGGGAAGGAGGAAGATTTGTGGCAAACAAGCCAGAAATACCAAGGGAAATTGACTTGGCATCCACTTCACCCAACTATTGACTTTAACCTTTTACACCTTCTGTGTACTTGCATTGATTGTAAAATAGAAGAAAGCTCTAAGGAAGCCTGATTCTCCCCTACCCCCCGGGCAACTTCGTATCCATCTGTTTTAGGCTGCTATTCCTGCTGAAAGATATGCATGACTATCCTAATTTCATTTAAAAAGCCATTTTGAATACTGATGCGGAGGTTGGGGAAGGGAATGATTCAGCTGGATTGCTAATAAGCACTAAGCATGTTCATTGTTAGGTTATAATTCACTTCTGAGGGTGTTTATGGGGCTTGTTTACACTCAATATTTGACATCTTGTCATGTTGTCCTTAATTATTGTCATTTTATTTAACTGAATTGATGTAAATTGCATTTTAAATTATTGGATATATACAAAGGGATTTGAGAGAAGAGCTTGTGTATCAAACCTCCTTTCCACACTTTTACTTAGCTTTGACTAGTCTTTCTTCCCTCCCCCTTTTTTCGAATAACCTAAACTCTCTCAAATATACTGTAGTTAGATTCCACAGATTTGCACTGGAATAGTCAAAACAGCTATTTTTATCTTTTAATAATGTATTTAAAATATTTTTACTTATGTCTCTTTACATGTATTTTTCTTTATGGATTATTGTTCTTTGGAGGTAGATTCCCTTTGTAGCAAAATATTGAACTTTTTTTTTTTTTCCCCACTGTTATTGTCAATGATTTTGTCATACGTGAACTGGTCTGTGCTCTATTCCACAGCTTGTATGAGTGTAGTGAACCTGGGATATATGCTTAGTTGGGAAATATATTTTAAAACAACTTCAAATGAAGATTTTTGCTAATACTAAAATGGCATGTAATGAGTGGGGGAGGGGGTGGAATCTAATCTATTGAGGAAATGTACAACTTTTTCCCTAAAATAAACACTACACTATTTTACTTTTTAAAAATGTTAGTTAGAGCTCAGCAAAAGCTAGGCATTTCTGTCCTGTGGAAAATTCAAGTACTTTGAAATAGTTTTGTATTGAATGGGGATGAAAGGCTGAAATATCAGAACTTCCTCTTCGAGTAGCATCCCTATGAGTTCTGTATTTCAGGTGCGCATGCCCCTCTGGAGACCTTCATTGGAGATTTTCCATTAGCAGTGTCCATTCAGCCTGCGCATGTGCTCTATACAACCTCGTGCCGCAGACCGAGGATGTATAGAGCTGCCTAGGTGAACTGCCCTTAGGTTCTTCTCTTTCTCCTTGGCCTGCGACAGAGCTGTAGCGCGTCCAGTGTGCACACCTTAGCATGTTACAAATGCTATCTCTCTTGTCGGGAGGCTATCCTGGTCAGTGACGGCCACTAAGTATATCCATTGCTTGGGAGAGTCCCATGTCTACCAAAAGTGTAACTTCTGCCTAGCTCTCAAATCTAGAGCATGGAAGAATCAAGAGATTAAATTGAGATTTCTGATGATGGAGTGTTCCCTTTGACCTGCTTCTGAGTCAGGTCAGAAGACCTCCACCTCCTGTACCTCTGTCTCTGGACTGACCCAGTGCCCCTTTGACCTTGGCCAAGGTGTCCCCTCAGAGGGGGAGACTTTGGAGGACTCAGGGAAAGCTCCAAAGAGGAGGAGCTCGGTTTCCATAAGGGGCTGGCTCCCAAAAGGCCATGGTTTCCCGCTAAGTTTGTGGCGTTAGAGACTTTGACCTCTCAACTCAGTACCATGGAGGTGAACAATTTTCCCTCCAGAGTTGTCAGGGCCAGGAGATCCTGGAGCACTAGGAGAAGTGCAGCTCCAGCAAGCCAAGCCTCTCCTTTCCCCCCAGACCATCATAACTAATATATTGAGATATACCTATCTCATAGAACTGGAAGGGACTTGAAAGGTCATCAAGTCCAGTCCCCTGCCTTCACTAGCAGGACCAAGTACTGTCCCTGACCATTGTGTGTGTGTGTGTGTGTGTGTGTGTGTGTGTGCACGCGCCCCAGATCCCTAAATGGCCCCCTCAAGGATTTAACTTACAACCCTGGGTTTAGCAGGCCAATGCTCAAACCACTGAGCTATCCCTCCCCTCCCACCCCCCCACCATCTGTAAAGGACAGGGAGGCCCAGGACATACACTCCTCTAGAATGGCCCTGTCTCCATCAGACTTACCATCAGTACCTGCAAAATTGAATCGCCAGACACCTTTGGCCCTGGCACCTACATGCTCCAGGTCAGTGGTACCATCCACCTCAACTGCTGCATCATTGACCTGGTGAACCTTGGGACAGATACAGTGATGGAGATCCAGGAGTACCCCAGATCACAGCTGGATGATCAGCCTGAAGCACAGGCAGAAACCTAACCTGTGGAGGGGAAACCATCCTGGGGGAACCATCTTGACAAACAGCAGCAAGCATATCTTCCCGTTTTGCCCAATACCTTTTTGAACAGGATCCTTCTGTATTTTGGGGATATGCCTCAGGGTAACATTCTCCAAAGTAAGGTCAGCCTACAGAAGTGCACATGCAATTACTAGCTAGCCATTGTTGCACCCACTTTAACTAGCCCACAGCCTACCTGGAATTTATCATCCTGTTCCCAAATTGGCAGAACAGACACCCTCCACCTGCTCCCATCATATCACAGGCCCAGGGGATTCTACGCAAAGGGGAAAAACTAAGTAAACATCTTATCTCCAAGCCCACAAAGACTGGAAATAGCCAATGGAAATGGAATTCCAAAACTGACGGAAAAGTAACATTTTATCAGTGTTGGCATGGAGACTACAACTTGGACAATAACTTGTTCTTTTCCCACAATAGTATTGGCATGAGAGAGAGGGAAGGGCATGGAAATGGCTAGCACATCACAGACACAACTGTTGTGGATGATAGAGTGGCAAACAACACTCCTGGAGCACAGGGCCTTTGAAGCCTTCCAGCTTTGAGCAACTTTGAATTTTGAATAGTTTTTGTTGTGTTTTTGTTTTGCATTTTTACTGTTCACAAGCTTCACATTCGACTTGGTGTATTCATTGCTACTGAAAATGTGTTTACATTCATGGTTCTGAATCTTGCAGCATTCCCTGAAATATGCATCATCACGGTCATAACAGCCACACATGCACAAAAAGGCTCCTGTTTACAAGCATTATATGACATTCACATATCATGCACTAAAAACTCAACAAGAAATGTGATATAACATACACACCAAGTCTGATTAACTCCTTTTACGAGGAAGTACACAAGAAAATGTGCACAGTCAGTAATGCTGATAAATGCCCTCTACAAAAGTATGTACGCTCTTCACAGGTGGCACCTATACTTGAACTATGAGTGTAATTTGGCTCTCACTCTGTGCCCTTGAGTAGTTGCATTATTTCATAGAGGCCTCCAATCAGGCCACTCAAAACATTCACCAGATCTGCCCACCACCATCCATTTGCAATGTTTTCTCCATTGCCTTCACAATAGTTGCACAAAACACAGCGAACAGCTGTCATAACGAAGATGTTTCTTATCAGGATGCTCCATCTAGTTTTCAGTTTTCCAAATGCATGTTCCAGTCATTCTGCAACTACTCAGAGCCTAGTTACAGTTCCTTTCTCCTATCCAGCTGTTCCATTAGAAGTTTCATAAGCTAAGGCATTAGAGGCTAAACTTAGTCTCCCGGAATAGGTGATGGAATGGCAATGCCACCAATGTTCAGTGATACAATAGGAGCAAAATTGACATTTGTCATTGGAGAAAACAGTCCAGATTTTCCAAAGAACCTGGTATCATGAACCTTTCCAGCCCACCCCCATAAATATTGGTGAACCTTCTGTGGTGATCAACTGGGCCTTGCCACACTGTAGAAAAATACCCCTTTCTGTTGTTGAACTCCATTGCTTCGTATGTGGTGGTGGGGGGGGGAGGAGTATCTGAATATGCAGATGGGTCCCATTCCTGGCCCCAGTACGAGTCAGGGCCCCCAAATGTGGAAACTAGTTATATCTGCTTGAGCGTTGCCCAGTCTTATGACCTGAGGGGAAAGAATCTTCTCGATAGCAGCGCACATCTCTACGACAACAGCTCTGACTGTTGATCCACCAATACCAAATTGGTTAGCTATGAACCAGTAGCAATCAAGGATTGTGAGCTTCTAGATGGCAATGGTCACGCACTTCTCCATGCTGAGGGTAGCTCTCATGTAGGTATCTGTTCTGCTGCTGTAGTTCTTTTGCCACTGCTGGTCATCCCAGGTCTGCCACACTGTTCTGTCCCACCAGTCAATGCTAATTAGCTGAGCCCAAAAGTGGCACTCCACTAAGTGAAGCTGCTGCAGGAAAAGATGGAAAAGTGTCTGGTTTGCTTCAGACACCACCTTCTCAGATTATTTTAATGCCCTGGTTCTGAATTTATTGTATAGTTCAGATATGCTAGCAGCAGCCTGTCATCACTGTGAAGACCACAGCAATCGCAAATGTTTCCTCTATGTGGCTTGACAGTGCTTTGAAAATGTGGC